GCAATGTCCAGCACACTTCTAGCTCCACGAGAAAAAATTTCTTTCAGGTTTCTGCTCTGTCAGGCCCCACATGGGATCACATCAGGAACTAGCAAGAGCAGGACTTTAATTTCTTGCTGAAAGCCAGTATAACCGCAAAGTTCCAAAGTTCCAAAGAAGCAATGTAAAGAGAGGCAGCCGCAAAAAGCTTGCATAGCGCATGCTAATCGCGGTAACAATATATTAACTATTTTAAATTATTCTCTAAACGAGAGTTTCCGAAACGCTTTCCGAAAATAACGCGATTGTCGACATAATGGGAATAGTAGCTGATTTATCAGACTTCGATAAAGGTCAAATCGTTATGGCTGGACGACTGAGAACATCAGTATCAGAAACGACGCATTTAGTGGGTTGTCAGGAATCTTCCTTGTCAGTAATCACTGCAGTTGTTGAGAGCACATATCGAAAGTTCTGTATGAATCGTGAAACGATAAATCGCTGGTCTGCAGTGTGTCGTCGACCGCGCATTGATTGCAAAGATGGTTTGGTGTGGTGGTGTATTTAATTATGGCAAAGCACACTAGGGCTATCTGCCTAAGGGAAGGGATGATTTCGTGTAGGACTTTCTAAGAGAAACTGGCTTGTATACACGTTACAGGGGAAAACCATGAAAACACCCATGCAGGCAGCCCGTTCGCGGGATTCGAACCTCGGACCGAACTACCAGTGTTCAGCGGCTTTACCGCTCGGCCGCTGGTGGGCCTGATTCCAAAGGAGAGCGGAGATTGTTATGCATTGTTCGCCGTGACCGAAGAGCTATAACAGAAGAAATCACAACCAGCTACAACAGTGGAGACCCAAACAGTGTTTCTCAACACACTGTGCAGCGTTTCATTGCTGCGTATGGTCCTATGCAGTCGGAGGCCGAAGCATGTCTCTGCTCTCACGGCATGTCATCCCCAGCTGCATCTGCAGTCTTGACTTGAGCTCCAAATTCACCTGATATTAATCCAATAGAGCATTTGTGGTCCCACCTGGAGAACCAATTTCGTTCTGCCACGCCACACCTTCGCAATTTGTGGGAATTGCAGGAATTGTGATGATTCGACGAACAGAGCTCCATATTTCCGACAGAGATGTCCTCCCCACACGCTTCTTTTCGGGGAGGTGCCATTGGTCCCTACTTTGTTTCCATGGATGACATTGCACAGCTACACAAAGCTCATGCTCTTGAGAAACTTCTGGAAACAATGTGCCCTGAACAATGGGTAATATTAAACAAAAACTGTTAAACTGTTAGATAGTATGGTGTTGACTATCAACAGACGATGCAATGTAACCACTGCAGTTAGAGGAGGTCCTATCCCTTACTATTTCTGTTTAAGGTTTGATCCCCAACTTAGGGAGACACTTTTTTGTACCAATTCCAGTTTATCAATAAACCTTTTTTCTATTTGTTACGTATTGTATGCGCCCTATTCATTCTTCTGCTACTATCCTTTCGTCATCCTTTAAATGCTATATATATTGTACTCCTGCATGAATTTTGTGTTTCTCGATTGATTGCTTGCGGAATTTCGTTAAAATAAGAAAAGTTCCGTAAGCTTTGCACATTAGTGTATTTGAAAGGTTATGAGTTCACACATCTCGGAAATAATTTTTCCAGTCTACAACTGTTTTGGCGACCTATTCAGTTGAGCTATTAATTTGTCCATACACTCGGTTTTTGATAATAGAATCCCACAACTTTGAAAATAATCCACTGCTTGCTGTAGTGCAGAAGGCAAGATCCAACTGTTAATTTTTTATTTTTTTCAGAATGCTAGAAAAAATACAGCAGTTATAGTTAATTTATAACCTCTTTCATAAAAAGTAAAGGAGGCCTATTGAGAATCTGTAGGAGTGCATGTAATTTTTTGAATGGGCAGATGTCATGAGTGTGTCGCTACGTCACTCTTAGCTGGGTCCTTCTGCTTGGCTTCAATTTTACGGTGGACGAGATAGTACGCAAATACCAGATTTTGCTCATCTTTTCGTGAACATCTGATAACTATATTGCTGCTGCCAACCATTAACAAAATATTCGATTACTATAATCTGATTTGATTTCAGAGTTTGTAACGTTTTTGAAATGTTATAATTGCCTATAGCAGAATTAAATAGAAATTTAGTTAGGTGAATTTTGTTTTAAATTTACGAAATTGATAGTTTTAAAGTACTTAATTTAAAAATGACTCTCATTATCCATTATGCACAGTTCTGCTGCAATTTATATAAATACTTCCTTGATTGATATCATTAATATCTTACCATATTCTATTGAATTTGAAAATCTAAAGAGAATAAAATAAAACTTTTTTTCTATACTAGGAAAAGAGTTAGCGAACGATCTTGCATTTCTTTGCTCTCTGATACTTAATAAAGTAGAAATTTAGTTAATTTTCCTATATAGATATTACGTATATTTTCTTTAATTCAACACTAAGCGAAAATCTTGTTAATATGACCTATGAAGTGCCATTTACACTTCAAAAACAGGTTAGTCATATAATTCTTACCGTAAGCACGGTTAAAGAAAACCACTCCAGTATAAATCAACATACGAAAAAACTATTTAGAAAGTTTATTTACAAAATATTAACTATTTTAAATTATTCTTTAAACGAGAGTTTAAAATTATAGTCGCCGTCTCAGTCAGTTCTAGAAATAGTTATGAAAACAAAGTGCAACAGGGTTGCCACAAAAGTATGCAAAATCGAATATTCACTCTAGCCCAGCCTAACGGCCAAACTCGGCAGTCACAACAACATACACCCTGATACCACGTTTCTATTTCTTTACGGTTGCTCTCTTCTTTTAATTTTTTTTTTTTTTTTTTTTTGCACAAGGATTTTCTGATAAATCACCTAGGTGCGAAAGTGACAAATGAATTTTTATAAAAACCTTGAGATTTAGAATTTCGCAATCCATTTTCAACTAAAATCATACAGGTAGGGTCACTATTTTTTGCATAAAACTTGGCGAGAGCAAAATGAGCAGCAATAAATGTCGCATTTCTTTTTTTCTGTACCGATTTCAGAGATTTCCTTTATATTTTTAATGTCTGACAAAAGTACTAACAAAAATTAATGACAGTAATACCTTCTTTTAGCCTAGATTTAGCGTCACAATATATTGCAGAGATGCTTACTTCAATTATTATAATGCTAACTCATATTGTTTTATGAGATGTTCTATGTGATAGCATTACTAAACCTTGACGTAAAATACTTTGTTTCAGACTGTTAAAATTTATTTTGTAACCACCGTTTTAATTCCCACTGATGACAATTTACTATACTGTTTCAATCACATGTGAAGCTCTGTGTTTTACTGTAGCCATCTTCAGACAAGAAGCATATGCAATGATTTAAGTCTGCACGAATGATCCAGTCATGGTCATCCATATTTGCACCCAAAAGGACTGATTTCTTATTCTGTTTTCTTGGAAATTATACAAAAGAGCTGTCAGGTGCAGAAGCATTTTTCTTCCTATTAGACAAAGAATTGTTTTGGTGTGTATTTAATCAGTAAAACACGCATAAATTATCACAAAATTAGTAAAGCACTTTAAATTCCTTGCTTATGTAGGCAAAATATGTAATAAAAATAATAAAATTCTTCCAGAAAATTTAACATTATACAGAACTTTTAGCGTAGCTTTCTAATTTAGCTTACGGAATGGCATTTTTAAAAATTGTTTCCATTCGAGGCTTGTGTTATTAACAGAGTTGCTGCTTCATTATGACATGCTATAAAGGTGTCTTCACCTTTATCAGTCAGTCAGTTTTTCTAAAGACACTGAATGACGGGGGAGGGGGGAAAGTGTCGGTCTATTTATCCCGAAGCAGCATTACAAAATTTGCTTTCCTTTTATTTAACAAATACGTTTATTAATCAGAGACTGGTATAAATAGAATTTATCTGCATGCAATATTAGTTCCTTAGCATAAAAGGACTTTTGTAATTTTATTATTTTAAACTAACCAGTTATTACGATTTGGTTCTGTAATTTAACTTTCCCTTTCGTTTCCTCACAGAATGTAAATGAAATATTATTAAAACTGAGGTTTTTTTAAATTTAAGACAGAGCATGTTTCTGCGTATCCACACTATATTTAGTTCTTCCCATCTCTGATAGTAGTAATTATTCGGTTTTGTGTTATTTCGCTGCCAACAATTCGCTTTTGAAGTTCTGATAAAATTGCTTCGAGTAAAATTTAAATTGTGTAGTCTTGCACTGCTATTCCACATTTTAATTTGAAATTGACTGTTATGTTCACACCACGAATTGTGACTGATATTCTTATTACAAAGAGTTTTTCAGGAAACTTCTATGTCCATCGGACGAATGTGGCACATGCTCATTATTTCAAACAGCAAAATAACTAACTTATTTTTTTAGAAATGTAACAAATAAATGGAGTGATAATCTAATAATATAAGAAGCTAAAAATGTGGTGTCATCCGTTGAGAAAATCAAAAGATAAGTCAGTTAAACACTTTTTTGCAGCAATAAAAATGAAAAACTAGCAGTTAAAAAAGATAAATTTTCATAAAGAAGGAAAGCTTTAAAATGATCTAATTCACGAATTGAAGACTATTTTGGAGTAACGCAAACTAATATTAAAATAATCATTAAGTGAACAGCAGTAATTTGTGATAAAAGATTTATAAACGTCTGTTTTTCTGATACAAGTTTCATTTAATTTGAAAATTTTAAAGCTGATTTTGTTTGACCGTTGTATACTATAAACTGCATTGAAAAATAATATTATAAATTGTTGCCCAGTAATAAAGTAATATTATAAATTTAAATAATATTAAAAATTAAATTAAAGGTTTTTACTGATATGTAAAAGTGCTTTTCCAGTGTTACTTTAATTTAAAAAATATTAGCCAATTACATTTAGGACTTAAGTATTAAGGATCTTAATATAATTGGGATACATTTTATTAAAACCTTTTGTTTCTTGCAGAGGGTGAGCTACAGGTATTGAAAGATGACAAAGTTATAGGAATCTTAAGACCAGGACGTGCTTTTGGTGAACTTGCTATTCTTTATAATTGCACTCGAACAGCTACAGTTAAAGGTAAGTGAATTTTTTTACGATACTAAATTAAAATTGCGTACTACTTTTAAAATATGTCAGTGTTTAAAAAGTAACTAGTTCTGTCATAGATTACTTTCAGTTACAGTTCCCATATTTCCAAACAATAAGATTTCAGACATATATTTTATTTTAAACAAGCATTTTCTATCATGTATTTCTAGATAGGAAACGGCTTCCAGAAGCTCTTCCTCTAGAGATGACAAATTCAAAAATAGTTAATTTTATAAGAAGGGTAATCTATTTGTTGTTTTTGGATTCTTGATCTTTCTTTAAGAATTGCTGATGTTCTTATTGTTGCTGTAGCGCATATTGTGTGTTTAAATTATCTTAATTCGGATTTGCCAAAAGTTATTTTTTTCTCCTTGATATCGTTATACGAACGTATATTTCAATTTTCAATACTCGATTTAGCACGCATGTTATTTCCAATCTTTCTCTCTGATTAATTTAATATTTTAAATCTGCGTAGTAATTGATGTAAAATTTATCGAAATGGCTAAATTTTATTAATAATTTAAGGGCCCACCAGCGGCCGAGCGGTAAAATCGCTGAACACTGGTAGTTTGATCCGAGGTTTGAATCCCGCAAACAATCTGGTTGCATGGGCGTTTTCGTGGTTTTCCCCATGTGTAACGTGCATTTGGCCTACCAGCGACCAAGAGAAGTTTAATCCAAGCTTCCACTCTCGGCGAACGGCTTGGTTGCATGAAAATTGAAGATTTTCACCAGAGTCAGTAAATAAGCAAGATTAGGTTGTTCCCGAGACTGACGGTACGAAAATGAGAACGATATCGATGGATTAGGAGAAATTTTTGGAATCCGAGGGTACGCGCCTCGAGTTTCAACTCGGCGCCGTTCCGTAGATATTCGAGAAAAAAGAATTTGGCACGTAGCCAAATCCCTCTAATAGGGAAAACCCAAGAAAAAAGTGGAAAATGTAGGAAAAACGTAGGAAAAATTAGTTTTTAATTAATATCTCGGCTAATTTAAGTCCCAACAAGACGCGAATCTTCAAAATGGCATACCACCGACCTGCGCAATCCAACGGTGTACCTTACTAGACCCGGGAGCTAGCCGTTTCGGATGAGATGATGTAACTTCGCCCCATATACATATGCGGCTTAAGTGTCTGTTTGTTACCGATAGTTTATTGTTTGCTTGCATAACTCTACTAGCCAATAGGGTGAAGCTGCCACGGCAGAGGGTTGCCGTTACAATTGAGACGTAGAAAATTTCCTGTAAAACTTGCCTTTGCTATGACCATCAATAAGTCTCAGGGCCAACGCTTAAGCGTGTTGGCTTTTTTTACCTGAGCCTGCATTTGGACACGGTTAACTTTATGTTGCCTGTTCAAGAGTTCGTGAAAGAACGGACGTAAAATTGAAAATAATGGATGGTCCTCTGCAAGGCGAGCTGAAAAATGATGGCAAGATCTACACAAGAAATATTGTGTACAAAGAGATCTTTTGACATGTGAATTAATATTTAGTAAAAAGCAAGTAGAAAGGGTAAACCCCGTGGGACAGTAAGCATAGAGGTGTCCTCGCCGCCTGCTCTGGGTAATTCAGTTTAAATTAGCAAACATCTTTGCACAAATCAGCTTAATTACAATTTATAATATCTAGAACAGCGGTCATTTCGTGTGACCGCCTGGCCTTCTAGTAGTAAATAACTATTTAAAAGATTATTGTTTGAATTTAGATGAAAGCTTAATTTCATATAATACTTTTTTATTATTATAATTTATATAAAAAAGGCTAAAGATAACTGAATGGAAGCATAAGAGTAAATAACTATTTCAGATCGTTATTATAATTTATATAAGAGAAAGCTAAACGTAACTAAATGGATTCCTGCATCGCTACTTCGCTACCGAGTTATCGCTAAAGCCCGATTTCATCCCTTTGGTTGTTCAAACATAATTTTCTATAATGAATGAGCCTTTTCTTTGAAAAAATCTCGGTAAAGGGAAGAATCGCCCATTTATTTGTTTGGTGCCTTTTACAAGGGTTAAAAAAATTACAGTTTTGTCAATTTTCTTTCACTTTTTAAGTGAAAACAAACCGATGTGTACATGGATTGCAGACTTTTTGTCATGGGTAATTCCCAAATTGTTAAATCCATAGGATATCAAAAAAGTATTTAAAATCAAAAAAGGATTTAACAATTAAACTAGTATTTCAATGGCGTCTTAAGAAATTTAGAACTATATAAACTTACGCAATTTGAAATCGGCGCGTACTCTAAATTTGGCGCATTGTTAAATGGGCGCGTTTGCTAGATTTGGCGCTTTTGCGCATACATTTTCGCTGCAATTTTTTACGGTCCTCAAAACGGAATAGTACCTCTAATTCTTAACTCATTTTGTAGTCTTTTTATCATGCTTCTTATAAATATCATACCTTTCGTGGTTTCGCATTTATTCTTATCATACTTCTGAGCATAAATGACAGTTGAAGGTATAAAATAAAAGTGCTAGAAATCGTTCGGATGAATATTTCATGTATTCAGTGTAGCATAAGATTTGATTGAGGAACATAATTCGACATTTTATGCCATTTTGGTGTATTGGAAAGAGGTTTTATACCTTTAGTTGCAGTGTTTTCCTTTTCTGTTTCGAGGATTGTTTTTACTTTATAACGCATTAAAATAGCCATCGCAAATAAAATACTAATGTAATTATTTGAGAATAGTAAATCCACTGATAGTGAGCTGCTGGAGAAGAACAATCTTTGCTATAAGATAAACTCAATTACTACTTTTTCTAATTAATAACTTCCGTGGTCCGCGAACCCTCTAAACTGCCTTTTGCGGGTCCTACATTTGAATTTGAAGAAAGGTTGAAGAAATTTAAGAAATTTTGATTTCAAGATAAATTATCCTGTGGGAAAGTCAGTTGCTAAATAAGAATTCCACTCACTTTCCAAAATTGATGGAGTGTGTGAAGGTCATGTCTACAACATGAAATTCAAATAATTATATACATTTCAAATTTGAAAGTGGAATTCAAAAGCAGATTTTCCGATTTTCGAGAAAATGAAATTTTTATCGGAATATTCTCCTCGCCATTTTCAGTAGATGTTGGAAGTGTTCCACCTGAACTTCAATTAGAATTTATAGATTTACAGTGTGACTGCAGTAAAATGCAAGTTTCTTGAAAATCCTATATTAATTTTATTCGAAGTACGTGACTGAAGACAAGTATCCAGGAATTCTTAAACATCCACTCTTGATGTCTTCTATCTTTGGCAGTACCTACACATATGAACAGTATTTTAATAAAAAGAAAATCCTAAAATCAAAAACAAGAACACGGCTGACAGACAGACATTTTCAGGAAAATTTACGAATTGCAACAACACAGATTAAACCGGATATTGAAGCTTTAATCAAGCAAAAACAATGTCAAATTTTGCATTAAAACTAAAGTTACTACCATCTCCCGTCAGTAATGTCAGTTTTTTTCCTTTCTCTTTTTTTTATTGTAAATACATTTTGTAACATCGTCCTGTACAATCATCTTATGCTTTTTTTTTTCATAGTTAAAAAAGTTGCAAAAAATTTTTAATTCGATTTCCATTTGACGTTTTGGAACCAATGTATATAAAAATCTGTAACACTATCTCTTCATCTAGAATCAATTGATGTCTTGCAAAAAAAAAAACCTCCTTTTGTTTTATAAATTTTCTGACTACACTACTTTGACAGACATGTAGCCCACGAATTTTCGTGAATTTATTGATGTGGCCCTTGGGCGTGAAAGGTTGAAGACCCCTAATCTAAGAAAAACATTAGCAGTTAATGTATAAAACGCATTCTGAAACGATATTTAAGACCTGGTCCGACAAGTCAAACTTAAAATCTTTTTTATTAGAGCAGATTTTTTATCGTGTAAGATTTTGGTTTAAACTTATAATACTAACTAATTAAATATTTTAAAATTATCGTTTTTATGTTTTGTTTTTACACAGTGCCCAAAAGCACGTGAAACTTTAAGCTTGTCAGTTACAAGGATCATTTTTTAAGATTCAAAGCAAGATGTGATAATTCTGCAGGAGGATAATACGTGACTTTATGAAAGGTGACTAATTGATGATATAATTATCTTCCTTTAAAATAAAGAATGATTAGCTTAGTGCTCTGCGGGATTTAATTTCTGATCTTTTATTATTGGATTACTTGGGAACATAATTATCTATGTTTAAGCTTAGTTATCACTTAGTTAAATTGAAAACACGGAGGGAGGGTAAAATCTCCCCTAATGAAAATTTTTGCAGCAGAGAATTAAGACGTATGCGTCGTATCAGTTATCTCTTGCATATGTGCTACTATATATATTAAACAACTTCTACAGGTGAAGTTTGAACTAAATTATATTCATTTTAGAAAGATTTTACAGGAAAAGACGTATGCGTCGTATCAGTTATCTCTTGCATATGTGCTACTATATACATTAAACAACTTCTACAGGTGAAGTTTGAACTAAATTATATTCATTTTAGAAAGATTTTACAGGAAAAGACGTATGCGTCGTATCAGTTATCTCTTGCATATGTGCTACTATATACATTAAACAACTTCTACAGGTGAAGTTTGAACTAAATTATATTCATTTTAGAAAGATTTTACAGGAAACGACGTATGCGTCGCATCAGTTATCTCTTGCATATGTGCTACTATATACATTAAACAACTTCTACAGGTGAAGTTGAACTAAATTATATCATTTTAGAAAGATTTTACGGAAAAGACGTATGCGTCGCATCAGTTATCTCTTGCATATGTGCTACTATATACATTAAACAACTTCTACAGGTGAAGTTTGAACTAAATTATATTCATTTTAAAAAGATTTTACAGGAAAAGACGTATGCGTCGCATCAGTTATCTCTTGCATATGTGCTACTATATACATTAAACAACTTCTACAGGTGAATTTTGAACTAAATTATATTCATTTTAGAAAGATGTTACAGGAA